CATATTTTTTTTTTTTTTTTTTTTTTTTTTTTTGCTGTTCCTGGGAGTGTTAACGTGGGTTGGAGGAGAAAAATCCGACCGGTTGTCGCCTTCCTGGGATATTTCAGATATTTATTTGGATGTTTATAAGTATCACCATTTATGTTCGTTAAACATGAAAATTATATAGGCATTTAAACAAAAGAAATTAATGAAATATTTAAATGAATAAAAATAACTATAACAATAATATATATATCCTTTATAAAACCTGTATAGTTCTGAAACAGGATCTTTGTATACTGTTGAAACCGTACAAAATTAAGAGTGCTGGGGGTATTCTATTATCTTTCTATCCATCTGTCAACGAATCACACAAGTAAGAAATGGTCATTTCTAAATCAATTAAAGATAAAAAACTTTAACAATGTCAAAACATGAAATTGCGTATTTTTTTTTCTTCTTAGAATAAAAAGAAAAATAAAATATATTTGCCATAAGCTGTGTTTATTTTAAAGCTTAAAAGGTTTCTGAATATAATATTATAGAAAACCAGCACTAGTCACCAGGTGATTTTAGTTCACCCAGGTTCATGGGAGAAGTTGACTAGCAGATAGGACATAGTATTTAAAAAGCGAGAAAAAAAAAAAAAAACGAGTGAACGCGCTTGTCTCACTGCATGTGTTGGTCGCTTTTGCAACACAAAGGGTACATCCATCTTTCTCTGGATTTCCTTGGTGCTTAAAGGCATTCAAAGTCTAATAAGGAGAAAATTGCTAGTAATTAAACTGGATGTGCAGATGCTTTACATTATGTTCGAAGCTGCCTCGCTATGGCATATGATTGGATAATAGCATGCAACTGCCTGCGAGGCTCACTGCGAATTATCCACCTCCCATGCGAGTTTCTTCCTCTCGAAGGTGGCAGGCTGAAACAGAAATATTAATAAACGTTTTAAAAAGAGCGTATACTCAGCACAGCGTGTATCATTGAGCGTCATCGGGACCAGAATTACATTAGCTAACTGTGTCATTACCAACAATACTTCAGGCAATATCGAAGCTACAATGCAAGCACATACATGGTAAATTCCAATTACAGCCAAGAATACAGATGACTTTCTGTTCAAATATCAAGGCACAGACACGAATACATGCAATTAATGAAAGGAATTCCCGTAATGATAATAATGATAATTAGAAAAGCACTGACTGATAATGGACCATTAGTTGACTTATGTATCATCACCAAAGTCTTAATGCTCATTTCTTATCTGTCCTTAAAATTTCATCAAAATTCATCCACAGCTTTTTGAGTTAGTATGATGAATAATGGACTGACAAAAGGAGTTGAAACCATGAACTCAATAATAATAATAATAATAATAATAATAAACTAATGATTGAGGAATCAAAGCAACCACAGGGCTACAACGTAAAGCGACAACAGAAGTGAAAGAGCATGAAAAACAGCTATCAAAGAAAAAGAGATAAGTGAATCAAGTAATCTATTTTACAACATTCTTTACATATTTTAAAGTATTTTAACCAATTTTAGGATTTGTGAATTTTTTTCCTAGAGCTTTCGACCATTACCCATATATTCTTGGTCACTATGCCCCTAGTATTGACGACCCAATATTATGGCGGGGCGGGGGGGTACAGGATTCCTTCTATATTCCTAAAAGGAAATATACATTTACCTTTTTCGTGTTCCGAGAAACGGAACCCTTCAAAAGATTTACACAACCTTGTGTCAATCATCTTCATTCCGCGGTAAGCGTAAACAGGCTCCAGGTCAGGACTTCGACCCCAAATCTGGATCGCTTCTTTCTCACACCACCCCTGCCTATCCTCTCCGTAGCAAATAACAGAGACCAGGGAGTTGTCATAGTCCGTGTATATAATCTTAAAATGGTTTTTGCCTGCAATGGAATGAGAAACTGGATTTAGGTCTGAAAAACGGCTAAGAGTAATATGCAAAATGAGAAACAGGGTCTATGTATAAAAAAGAATGATGGTTTTAATTCTTATACAATTGTTCGTCTTAGTTAATGCTGCCAGAAATAAAGGCTACTAAAATTTGTTTCGAAATCATTTTATAGCCTAATATCATAGATGTCCCTTTTGAGTGGGGGAAATAAATGCATAAATTATCTTTGTTGACGAATAAAGAATAACTCACTCTCTGGTGGACCAAAGGCGTATACCCCAGACTGCCCTGTGGGTTGTAGGCTAGAGAGCTCATTGATAACTATACACGCTTGTCCGTCTTTCCTAAAATGAAAGGAGCATATGCTTTCCTTTTTGGATATTCTTTGTCAAGCATACAATACATTGTAATTCTGCACTGCAACCTTTTTTGTAGAATGAAGATGATCACGACTTTGTTTTATAACCATGAGAAAAGGTATCTGCAATATTATTTAAACATTAAACTATAACGCCATGCAAAAAAATAGAGGGAAGAACTACGCTTGGCGCTGCGCTTATCATTCAAGCGGGGAAAAAGGAAACGCGTTTATGGTATAGATACAGTACGAGGCGCTGAGCTTTACGAGGAATAGTGCAGGTAATTGGCGAGGCGAAGCCGAGACAATTATCTGTTCTATTTCTCATACATACCACGGGGCTGATATCAAAACAAAAGAATTGCAGGGGCCGATACAATGAATGAGACGGAGTGACTGCCACGTGCGGAAGATGGGCAGGAAATCGGCCAACTACTCTGAAAACCACTAACG